GTGTGCTTGCCACAAATAACCAGTATTATTCACAATATTCAGTCGCTCCCGCCTCTCTCTGACACATTCACCCACCAGCTGCGCGTTAAAACGCTTGGAGTCATGCACTTACTGTTGTCAGAAGAGTCCGCTGCAGCGCATTTCTCTCTCGTCGGGTTCATCAGCTTTGAGGGTGAGTTCGTATTTTAATAAAGTTTATGAAAATGCTGAATGTAAATTAGAAACAGACAGCATAAAAACTTGCCAATTTGGCGGAGACAGTTAAATACAGTAACATAATCCATATCTATTGACAATGTTATCAGTGCATTATCTATATATTAACATTATATATTAAATGCAAAGTAACACTAGTGATTCTCTTTACCTTTTCTCACTATGTACTCACTGCAATACTCAATTGTATCGTTTACTCACTGCATTATTAGCCTACTTTTTAATGCAGCAATGATATGACTCTTGCTGATGAATTATTAGGTCATTTAAAAATTAGTCTCACACACACACACAAGTAAGTTTCCATACTATATTCGGTGAATAAATGTAATTACATTTAATGTGATTTTACAGTAAAATACTGTTAACAAATACGGTTTTAGGAAGTGAAAAAGAAAAAGTCGTATAATTTATGGTGAAAAACCGTAAATTGACACTCCCAGAATTCCCTGCATGATACTTCATATTTGAATGTTTTTTGTTGAAATAACATGTTTCTTCTTAGTTTTTTTTCTTATCAATTGTGTACACTAGGGTTTAATCTTACTTTAAATGTTGTTAATTTAATGTTTATTGCATTATTTCAGTATCGTGTGTCACCCTGATGGGGTTTAGTGTTTGTATGAATGAGACTGTGCACCTTCTATATTGCTCTCCTCAGCTCATAGAAAAGTAAAAACCTGTTAACTGGTTAACAGTAAGTTTCCATACTATATTCGGTGAATAAATGTAATTACATTTAATGTGATTTTACAGTAAAATACTGTTAACAAATACGGTTTTAGGAAGTGAAAAAGAAAAAGTCGTATTAGGTCATTTAAAAATTAGTCTCACACACACACACAAGTAAGTTTCCATACTATATTCGGTGAATAAATGTAATTACATTTAATGTGATTTTACAGTAAAATACTGTTAAAAATACGGTTTTTGGAAGTGAAAAAGAAGAAGTCATTGTATAATTTATGGTGAAAAACCGTAAATTGACACTCCCAGAATTCCCTGCATGATACTTCATATTTGAATGTTTTTTGTTGAAATAACATGTTTCTTCTTAGTTTTTTTTCTTATCAATTGTGTACACTAGGGTTTAATCTTACTTTAAATGTTGTTAATTTAATGTTTATTGCATTATTTCAGTATCGTGTGTCACCCTGATGGGGTTTAGTGTTTGTATGAATGAGACTGTGCACCTTCTATATTGCTCTCCTCAGCTCATAGAAAAGCTGTTTGTGATGAGCTTTGGTTCATCACGTGGCTTTCTCATCACCACCAGTTTTTGGTGGTTATCAGTGCATTACAATGGTTCAAAACAGATATTAGTACTTCAATATGTTGGTTTATTAACATTACATCAGTTAATGAAATATGGTATTTTATTGTGAATTTAAGTTAAGTCTGTAAAACCTAAAATGTTGCTACCATATTTTTTACGGTGAAGTTCTGGCAACCACAGCTGCTGGTATTTTACCGTAAATGTCACAGATTGTTTTTTTTTTTTTTTATTTACAGTGTGTGTAAACTAGGGGTTGAACGACTTCTGATTTTTTGAAGTCGACTTTGTGATGAAAGTCGAGTCGAAGTCGACTAGTCGCTGATGACGTCATTAATGAACAAATGAACAAAGTCTGGAGCTGTGATAAACAGCTTGTGCACAGCTATGGCATACGACACAGCGCTGCCCACATGGCTGTTGCTCATATAACAGCTTTTTTATCAGTTTTTTTTGTCTTTGGGTCGTTATATTTCTCAGATTTCTGCTCATTCTAAATCAGATACAGATAAAGTAGCACAGTAAAGGTTACATTATTATGAATGCATTAGTGAGAGCGATTGTGTGTGTGAATTAATTCTGCCTGGCAGCGTCTCTCTGCTAGTAGTGAAGCTGTGGAATTTAGTTATTAAGAAATAAATGCTTGAACTTTTCAGTTTCTAAGCTATTTTATTGAGAAATCACAGAACAGTGTTGACAATACATTTCTGCGCTGAATGATAGCCTATGTGTGTACGTTACATTGCAGCAGCGCATTAGATTAGAACGACGATTAACGTACCTGTACAATAAGCTGTTTAAAACGTGCATTCTCCCGTTCAATTTCGAGCATCCAGTAATATAATCACACGTCTTGTGGAGCGCTTTCAGAGTATGCATTTATTTGTCATTTGAACTGTTTGGAAACGGAGCGTAAATGTGGAAGTCCATCAAAGATTTCTAATCCTGTTGCGCCCTCTATAGGACCAGCGACTAGTCGACATCAAGCTTAAAGCGTCATGGCAGAGCATTGAAGTCGACTAGTCGATTAGTCGGTGCAACCCCTAGTGTAAACGTTTTTGCTGATTGCATAGTTATCTTAAAATGACCTCCAGAGGTGGTTTGAACCAAAATTCATCCGGTTGTTCAAGCCATGTATGTAAAATTTACTCCTCCCAAAATGCTACTACGTCTGCATTGCAATTCCTGTGATGAGATTAGTCAGGAGAGTACATCGGCAAGCACACATCTGCCTTTTTTGGTGCCGGTTTCTAATTTTCCTTAGCCACATCAAGTGCACCAAATTTTTTAGCCCAACATTGTCACTACCAGAAGTGTTCAATGACCATTACCTTGGTGTTGATCTTTAAGTTTATGAAACATTGAAACTATCTTTTAGCCTCACCACTGAACTCTTGTCTCTTTACCTTCAGGTAGAGCAAGATGACAGGTCCTCCATCTTTGTCGTTCAGTCTGACTGCACTGGCTGTGGTTATTTCTTTGGTCTATAGTGGTGCTTCCATCACAAACAATGAATATGACTGCCACTTAACACATATAAAAGTTCCAGTGATCCTGGACCAAAGCACAGTGAGGCTTCAAAGCCCAGAATTCACTGCTGACAACTTAAGTGAGCTAGGAGTGTTGTGTGTGATTGAGTGCCAAAGAAAGCTGCCAAAACCGAGGCCATCTGAGCTGGAACGACTACTGTCTTATGAAACCGTCTACGAGAACGGAACACGGACCTTCACCAAAATAAAATTGGAAGGGGTCACTGGATTAAGAAACGCATCCTCTTCCGTTGTCTGCAAGGCAGGACACTTTAAACGCAGAAAACGGCATGTATACGGCATGGACGGCCACTTTGTGATCACAGATAAACATTTCATCACCAATTACCCCTTTTCTGCCTCAGTGAAGCTCTCTACGGGTTGCTCAGGCATCTTGGTTTCTCCAAAACACGTACTGACTTCTGCCCACTGTGTCCATGATGGCCAGGTCTATCTGAAAGGGACCAAGAGGCTCCGAGTGGGTGTCATGAAGCTTCGCTCCAAATGCAGGGGAGGACGCCAACGAGGAGGCAGGAGGAGAGGAGGAAAGAGGAGAGAAAGCGAAGTGGGAAATGAAGGAGAAGTAGCCACTGAAGGAGAACTACGTCATAGAGAAAGAGAACACAGGAGGACAAGAAAGAACCATATTAGACGCGACACGGATTCAGACCAGTCCAGACAACCGGTGTTCAGGTGGACACGCGTCAAACGAACACAGGTGCCAATGGGCTGGATGAGGAGAGCAGGCAGGGAGGTCTCGGCTGACTATGATTATGCCCTTCTGGAGCTGAAACGACCCCATAAGATGAAGTTCATGGAGTTAGGCATTGTTCCTGTAGTCAAGGGCATCCCAGCTGGAAGAATCCACTTCTCTGGTTTTGACAATGACCAATTAGGGAAAGTGGTCTACCGCTTCTGTTCGGTCTTAGAAGAATCGAATGACCTAATGTACCAGTACTGTGATGTGCAGAAGGGGTCAAGTGGAGCCGGTGTGTATGTAAGGCTACGAGATCAGGGAGGAAAAGGAAGGTAATTGGTGTGTTCTCTGGACACCAGTTGGTGGATGTTGATGGGATGCAGAAGGACTATAATGTGGCAGTCAGAATAACACCCGCCAAGTACACCCAGATATGCCACTGGATCCATGGCGATGCTAGTCAGTGTAAACTGGCCTAAAAAGGTCAGAGTCCTCAAGACTGCTGGGACGGTCTAGATGCAAACTTCAAAACTGGTCCCGTTTGTGACCCAATGGAAAATCTATGGTGAGTAGTTAAGAGCACAAATGGAGCAACTGTACAGGAAATGCCTTTTTAACAAGATTACGTTGGATGCTGCATATTTATTTTTGTTTTTATTGCCAAAAGTTGAGACTGTAGCCTTTGTAATGTCAAGTTCAGGCCATGTTTGTGTTAAAAAGCCAATATCACCAGCTGAGGCCAAGTAGTTAACTACTGAAAAACAAAACAGCTTGACATTATGTATGATTTGTTTAAGTTCTTGGAGAGTTCGCCCAAATATGAAAAATATCACCAGACGCATGGAGATAAGCCCATTTTCCATACAAGAAAAGTGCATGGTGATTCATACAACCTCTGAAAAGAAATGGGAAGATTATTTGTGAATAACAGCCTACAATAAGAATAAAGTACATAAGTGATATGGACTATTATGCTTTTTCCAAGTCTGGCAGTATAAATCACTATGCAGTTTCGCTGCATGGAGGGGAGTAGCTCAGACATTCACAGCTTGGAAGGAAGGAGGGTAATACGCATCTGAGGTGATTGTTTGGTCTAACTGTGTTTGTATTGATTTAATATTGAATGCATTTGCCTAATAAAGTCAACAGAGTTAAAATATTAAATTACAAAAGTACTAATTCATAAATGTACTAAAAAATCAGCTTTTGGTTTTTTGATTAATAACATTTTTTTTTTGATTTTTTGTTTTAATATTTTCTTTCACAAAACATTAGAGACAAAAATCCTTTCAACACCATTCTGGTTTATTGTCTTTGAAATGGCAGAAAAAGGAACATTTGTTACATTACACATGACAAACAAGCCATGTTAATAGCAAAACATATGTAACGCAAACAAAGTGCACATTCTACACTAACAGCTCATCAGTTGGATCCAAATATAAATATAAAAGCTGAGTGGAGCGACACCAGAACCAGCCAATTAAAGATTTGATGTAGCTGAACTTTATCCCTCCAGAGATCCTGATTGGACAGCATCCTGGTAGGACGGCCCGCCCTCTTTCTGGTCAGGGAAGAGCTTGATAAGGTCATCAATTCGAAGGATGGTGATGGCTGCCTCTGTGGCGAACTTCAGACTCTTGGTTTTAACCATCATGGGTTCATATACTCCCGCCTGCTTATTGTCTCTTGGCTTTCCATTCACCAGGTCCAACCCGATCCTAACAGCACGCACACAAAATCAGGTTAAAACAGAGTAATCCAAACTGCATTGGCTCTCAGCTTAATCCATAATAGGCCACATTGGTTCCAGATCTACTAAATCTATTCCAAGGACATCAGGAGTTCTTACTCCTGATTGTACGTTTGTCTGCTGTCTGACAACGCAGTCATATTTCTAAGAGCTGAACAGCTTTCCCTGTGTGACGAGAAGAGAGCAACACTAACCATTTGAGGTTCTTGCGTTCAGGGTTGAAATAAGAATAAAGTACATAAGTGATATGGACTATTATGCTTTTTCCAAGTCTGGCAGTATAAATCACTATGCAGTTTCGCTGCATGGAGGGGAGTAGCTCAGACATTCACAGCTTGGAAGGAAGGAGGGTAATACGCATCTGAGGTGATTGTTTGGTCTAACTGTGTTTGTATTGATTTAATATTGAATGCATTTGCCTAATAAAGTCAACAGAGTTAAAATATTAAATTACAAAAGTACTAATTCATAAATGTACTAAAAAATCAGCTTTTGGTTTTTTGATTAATAACATTTTTTTTTTGATTTTTTGTTTTAATATTTTCTTTCACAAAACATTAGAGACAAAAATCCTTTCAACACCATTCTGGTTTATTGTCTTTGAAATGGCAGAAAAAGGAACATTTGTTACATTACACATGACAAACAAGCCATGTTAATAGCAAAACATATGTAACGCAAACAAAGTGCACATTCTACACTAACAGCTCATCAGTTGGATCCAAATATAAATATAAAAGCTGAGTGGAGCGACACCAGAACCAGCCAATTAAAGATTTGATGTAGCTGAACTTTATCCCTCCAGAGATCCTGATTGGACAGCATCCTGGTAGGACGGCCCGCCCTCTTTCTGGTCAGGGAAGAGCTTGATAAGGTCATCAATTCGAAGGATGGTGATGGCTGCCTCTGTGGCGAACTTCAGACTCTTGGTTTTAACCATCATGGGTTCATATACTCCCGCCTGCTTATTGTCTCTTGGCTTTCCATTCACCAGGTCCAACCCGATCCTAACAGCACGCACACAAAAACAGGTTTAAACAGAGTAATCCAAACTGCATTGGCTCTCAGCTTAATCCATAATAGGCCACATTGGTTCCAGATCTACTAAATCTATTCCAAGGACATCAGGAGTTCTTACTCCTGATTGTACGTTTGTCTGCTGTCTGACAACGCAGTCATATTTCTAAGAGCTGAACAGCTTTCCCTGTGTGACGAGAAGAGAGCAACACTAACCATTTGAGGTTCTTGCGTTCAGGGTTGACCTGAGCCTCATTGTGGAAGGCTCTGAGTTTGGCCACCAGGTCAGTGGAGTCTTGTGCGGCATTGACTGCCAGACTTTTAGGAATGACGAGCAGAGAGCGAGCAAACTCAGCAATAGCCAGCTGCTCACGGGAACCCTACGTCAAACACACAAAGTTTCAATGGTTTATTCATACACGCACATTATTAAAAAGCACAATTACTGCATATTAAAGAGTGCAACCGTGCCCACACCATTTTCCCTTTTATTCCCCATTAATTTTCTCCATAATCATTATAACCTATTCAGTTAGAGCTAAGAACCAAACTAACCAGCTCTGAGAAATGCTAAACTTTGTAAAATGCAATATAAAGTACACTATGGTGTAGGCAAGAAAATATTTAAAGTTTTTCAAAATACTGGAATATTCAAACAGACTCTGCTCCAATTCCTGTTTCTATGGCAACACAGACCATTCTGATTGGTGGAACGTTTCAGGATTGTAGAGTATAACTCCTCATTGAGAATTCAGCAATTAAGATTTTCTTTTAAAAAATAAAGCAGAAATCACACTGATGTATAGATTCATTGACCTCAGAACTAGAAAGTTGAGATAAATCACTACAAATCTACGATCGTGAACCCTGCTGTTGAACGCGGTCCTGAATAGACTGTAACTGATCACACTGCAGGGCTAATGCGTCTCAGTGATAAACAAGGCATGTTTGTTCTGAGCAGGATGGAAGCAGCTGTCAGCAGAGCTGTTTATCTGTCCCTTTCCCCACTCAGGACTCTCACTGTCTCCCACGCGTATAACTGCACAAGCCATCAAACAGGCACGGCAGCAATTATAATGGGAGTGTGCATACATCCAATTGCACACAATACAGTAATATTAAAGAAACTGACAATAAAAGCCTGCCTGCCTTTTGTTTCACTATTTGATACATTAGCTATAAATTACCTGTTAGTTTGTTACAACACAACACGATCATGACGACTATGCACTGAACATAAAAGCACAAATCAAGAAAATAAAGATCCCAGCAGGCAGCTGTGAAAGACTGGGTCCTCACCATGCTTGTTGCATAGTTCTCCAGATAAATGGACAGCGCAGCCTCTACAGCGCCACCTCCTGGTACCACAGACTTGGACTCCAGCACCCTCTTCACCACACACAGGGCATCATGCAGCGAGCGCTCCATTTCATCACACATGAAATCATTCGCCCCACGCAAGACGATAGAGGCAGATGTGCGTGCCTTTGTGCTGAGAGACAGAGAGAAATGAAAAAGGCATAAAAAATTACTAAGTGGTTTCCAATGCAAAACGCTGCTACAAGGTCCCATGCAGTTAATTGCATAACGTATTATTTTTCAGAATGCAAGTAATTTTTTTTTGTTTTTATAATTTATCAGTTGTAGGCAAATTAGACATTACCGATCTGTTCGTTCATACAGAAATGTTTTCTCTCTCCTAACATTTAACAATCTGTATTGTTAGGCAAGGTAAGGCATAACAAGTTTAATTGTACAAATTAATTGAGTTTCACTTTAAACTTGTTTAGGCATGGTGTTTTCAATAAATGTTTATAACGAAAGACACTATCATTTATTTCTATTATTCTTGTTCTGTATACTGTACAGTTAAATTTGATGGATTTTTGTGGAACTAAATAAGAGGAACTATTTGTTTTAGGGGAACTAAAATACATTTCTAATGATTGTAAACATTTCATTTTATTTATCGATGTTTTACATAATTTCTGAACATAATAAAGTACTTTAAACAACCTTTTTTTTTCTCAACAATGCATTTTTGACCCTGTGCAACTTATTTTCCAAAAAACACAATAGATAATGTGCTGAATGGCATCTCTTTAAATTAAGACCAAGTCTATTCCGATGAATGCACGATTTATCAGCTCTGGAAGTGCCACAGTTATCCAGGTACGAGGTAGAGTGATCAAAAGGAACCAGAACTGATTTAATGAGCCACAGTTTCACTATACAGGCAGTGTGGAATTATTTTACTGCATGGCTTTATCTCCGGAGAACGTGAAGTGCATGCATCCTAAATGGTAATTTTCAGAATCTAATGATCAGGCATGAATTCTATTCTACAGGTTTTGTTGAGGGAAAAGGAAGATGCTCTCACTTCTTGATGAGGATGAGCTCGTCGTCACACACTCTGTCCTGCACCACCTCCTCAGCCTGACCCAGCATGGCCGCCTCAAACGTCTCCTCTCCCTCCAGGTTAGACAGAGACGAGCACACAGTGGCTGTAGGGGAAAAATCAAAACATTGTTCATTAAAATTAAGACACAGAGAATAAATGACCTCTGTATTTGAAGAACAGAAGGCCTGGTTCTACTAAGCATAAGTGTAGACAAAAGCAAGTGCAGTCAGCTGACCCCCAGTTGCTTTGGCGATGCGCTTGAGGTCCCTCTTGAGCACCCTCCTCACAGCCAAGGCTCCTACATCTACAAAGTATTTCAGACACATGTCATCAATGCCTCCTGTGGTCAGAATCACATTTGCCCCCGACGCCAGGATCTTCTGAATGCGCTCCTTCGTGATGTCTGATTCCCTGAGAAACAAATCCAAAAAGATCATCAATACTGATGATGATCTAAACTATACTGCATACAAACAGCAAAGAAAAAATGTAAAGGCCTAATAAGTTACACAAGGCTTTAAATAACATAGGTAAACAAGTTAGTGTTAGTTGAAAAAAAGGAAAACAACAACAAAAAAAAATGTTAACCTTCTGAAAATTATAACGTCAATGTCAGGAAGTAAAACTAAATTATACAAGTGGCTCCATTTATTTCATATAAAGCTCTGATGCAAACACGTAACAGTTTCGCATCAGTGCTAAATACAGACGTAAAAAGGGTCCAAAAGGTTTGTACTCAAATTACTAAAACCACACAGAGAAAGCTTACTCTCACATTCCACATATAGCAGTGGAAAAACAGTAGTTTATTTTTGATTTTTTAATTAGAATTAGTTTGATATAGTGATTTATAATGCATCTATATAATTTTAATGAATTTTTATTTCAATTTTAGTTTGTTTAAATTATGCAAAAAGAAAACGGGCAACTCAGCTATGGCATTTAACTGAAAAATTTTATTTCAGTTAACTTTATTTAAATTAACAGAATTTATGGTTTTAGTTTTAGCTAATTATAATAATGCTAAGGCTGTCACTAAGGCTGCAATATTTGGTAAAAAAAAACGTATTACAATTTAAAACAATGGATTTTAATGTTATTTTTGCAATGTCAAAGCTGTATTTTCAGCATCATTACTCCAGTCTTCAGTGTCACATGATCTTCAGAAATCATTCTAATATGCAGCTCAAGAAACATTTCTGATTATTATCAGTAGGGCTGTGTATCACCAGCGAAGTCACGATACGATATGTAAATTGATCAACAAATTTAATACACTACAGGGCTGTTACCAATCAAATTAAATAATTTACCCTGCAAAATTACAACTGCAATAAACAATGTTATGAGATTAATGTTGTAAATAAGATTTTGAACATACAAATGAGAAATGTTGTGGAAAAATGCAAACTTTTAAACACGAGACTAAACCGACAGTAACAGATTCCTTCAAACAGCTGAATCATTCAGTAACAAAAACGCCATTGTTGCTTGGAGAGTGCGCGCAACAATTCTGTTCTGATCTTTGTTCTGATCTTTGTCCATGAAAGTCTCTCACAGAGACAGGCAGCACGAGCCTCAACAGCGCGACTGTGACGAGTGGGGGCGGGGCCGAGAGCCGTGGGAACGGAGCGAGGCCGGTGGAGTAATTGACAATGAGCAACACCTACGCCACTCACCGGTCTCGAGTCCCACAGAGGAGCTACGGAAGGATAAAAGGAGGAGTAACGACAGTGTAGGACAAGAGAGGACCAGGCCTCGCTCCGCTCCCACGGCTCTCGGCCCTGCCCCACTCGTCACACTGGAATCAGTGTTTCAAGTGGGGGCGGGGCCGAGAGCCGTGGGAACGGAGCGAGGCCGGTGGAGTAAATGCTAACACGACACCTGTGCCACTCACCGGTCTC